CCCCAAAACCCCAAAACCCCAAAACCCCAAAACCCCGATTTGTTATAAATATATTGAGAATTATAATAATTATAATTTAAGATGTTTCTTACCAGATCAGTTCTTAACAAAAGATTATTCCAGTACGGAACCAGAGCTATGCATTACGATGCTAAAAACAACGTACATGTAAGTCACTTAAGATCCATGCTTGGGTATTTTTAGATTTGTTGTGAATTGAATTAGCTGAGATTAACAATTATGATACTAAAATTATTCTTATAGATCCCAGAAAGTTTGGAGGACATCCGTAAACATCATGACAAGACCAGACCTACATACATGATGCTTTATTTCCATGCTGACTGGAACCCAACTTGTGAAGAGATTGAGGATAAATACCACAAGTTTTGTGTAGACAATGGAACCTGGACTCACTATAAGATAGACACTGATGCTCAGAAGAGGATAAAATTCTTCTATGATGTTAAGTGTGAACCAAGCTTCTTCATTTTCCTAAACGGAATGCTAATGAAGAGGATCATTGGCTATAATTTTGAACATATTAAAAAGAACCTGGAATACACCGTTGAAGCTCATCACGGAAAGTTCGATTATCATGATGGAGTCAAAGACAAATGGGTAGATTATTACACCCAGGTCGACTTACAAGAGGCAGAGGTCGAAGTAAGTTTAGAACTTAGGAAGCATCTTTTCAAAAGAATCAATAAAGATACATCTATTGCTTTCTTGTTGATTTTTAAATGTATTTGTTTGATTTCTCACACAAAAAACATTAAAATCATCAGGTAGTTTGAATAATTTTACAAGGAAAGACTGCAACTTATAATGGCGGGCTTTAAACTTACTTTCTCTTTCTAATCATTTTTATAGAGAGACAGAGATCCATCAAGACAAGGACTTCTTTTCGAAGAGCATTTGTAATCTATGATGCTGCTAAATATTCAATCATTAAAACTAATTGAGGGGTTTTGGGGTTTTGGGGTTTTGGGGTTTTGGGGTTTTGGGGTTTTGGG